CATGTCTAATTCCGATCATGTTTATTGCAGCGTCGTTACGCTCACGTCCAGGTGAGACGTGGTTACCCGGACTTCGTGTTCGAGTTTGACCGTCTCCAGCCGAGCGACGTCATCTGGGAGCCGTACACAGAAGAGGCCGTCGCTGCGAGAGCACCGCTAGGACTTTCGTCCTTGTGCACACGCGACCAGGCTTACTGGCTCACCATCCTGCCGATGGTGTTCGACATTTTCGTTGAGCCTCACTGGCCGCAGCGTGTGATGAGACAGTTCGGACTTAGGCAGGTGTTTCCCGGCAACGTGCAGCCGACCGTCCCCCCTGCCGACCACTCGTGAGTTCGGATTGTTCATTTCTAAATTTTTATGATAATTACATCATCGAGCCATACAATTTACCTCTCTTCACAGGTTGACTCGACGGGGACAGCTAGCAGGCGCACTTTGGGCTCCACGTGTACAGCAGTACGTTGACGACTGGGTGTTAGCTACAGAGGAGGTGATCAACGAGCTCTTCCCACACACGGAGGAGAACTACCGTGACTACCTTCGCTGGTACCTTCCTCGCACTCGTGCGCGTGTGACCTTCACTCCAGACGCCCCAGAGCCGCACGTTGCCGCTGTCACGGACGCGTATCCCACGCACCGTGACCGAGACTACTTCGTGGCGGTACGTCCAATTTGTATTACTTCCAACAATTATGTCATTTATCTTGCATAATATAGGACAACTACTGAATTTTTTATTTCCATCTTGCATAGGCTGATGCGGCACGGGATATCAGTGCCGATATCACCGCAGTCCAGGTGAGGTTGAACAGAGGTTTGCACTTGACTGACGTTGAGCAGAGGTCGACCTTCGACCGGATGCAGGAGAAGATGCGTGCGGTCATGCGCGTCTTCTCCTGTCGCAGCGCCGTGGACGTCGTACCTCCAGCTGGTCCGGTACACCCACGGCCTCGCGGTCCTACCGTCGGAGCAGGACCTCGTTTGTCTTCGAGCGCCCCTAGCTTCGGAGCAGTGCGACCTACAGCACCGGTTTCGCACGGTACAGTTCAGCCCAGATATTAGTTCATTTTTGTTTCAGCTTTTGCACGAATGTGTCACCATGTTTTAACTGCACGTTTCCTCATCGCAGGACCTCGTATGCCTTCGAGCGCGTTCGCAGGCACGACCGGCGCTTCCGCGAGCTCCGCAGGGGCGTTCGCCACCTCTTCAGGCGCGTTCGCCAGCTCTTCCTCTCACGGAGCGTCGATCCCTCGCCCACACGGTACTTTACTTTTTATTAATACTGTTAAATACCTATACGAAACTGATGGTCCTTGTCCAGCAGGATTTGCAGCCGGGATCTTCGGTACTGGGGCCTCTTCGTCTCACGCCGGTAGGACTGGTCCTACTAGCCAGTTCTACGACGACGACTTGCACGGTGCAGACCACCAGGACGTACTAGGCTCCTCTCAGCTTGGAGGAGCTCCAGAGGCGCACACTCAGGAGCAGCCAGAGGTCACACCTGTACAGGCAGGACGGGTTGGCCGTGCCGTACCCCCGGACCGACTCACGTACTCCCAGGGGCACATTAGGGCGCAGGGTAGGAGGGACAGGGGTAAGAGGCCTCGTCAGTAGTGTTCTACCTCTTCAGTCCTTATGTGACCGTTTCTTTTGGCTTACAAACTTGTAAAGCAGTACTACTTTTGCTATTACTACTGCAGTACTACTTGTGTTTGTCTCGTCTACGTAGTTCTTTTCATTCGTATGGTGCTTGAACAACTTATGCTCACAACAACACACTTTCGGCGCTTCACGGTAGTGCCATATCCAGTAGCGCGCACAGTCCACAACAGCACACATGAAAAGCGGCAGCTCGAGTTATCACTATCAACTTTCGGCGCTGCCTGTTGACATAAAGTGAATCACGCCCACGCGTGATCGTCTTGTCACATCTAATGAATAATGTATCTCATTGAGTTCACATATATTGCAGTGAAAACGACGCTATATAATTGACAATCTGAAGGCAACCTCTTCATATCTTCTTTCCCACTACCACACCACACACGAAAATGGAAGCCTATTAATTGGTAATACGTAATCTAGAATTGAGATTATGTACAACATTCTTCACTACAATTTTACATTTTGGCAGCAAACCAAATATGATCAAATGCAATTTTACCTTACCAAATATTTGGTAGTGCCAAAACTTGCTTATATTTTGGCATTAACAAAATATTTGTACGGTAACATTCCAAATATGCCCTAAAAAATAATAAAATTGTATTTTACCAATCTTGAAGATTTTAATCTTGTATAGTTTTCAATATAAAAAGATTTGATAACTATTGATATTTATATAAAAAAAATATAGAGCACAGTACAAAATCGCCCTCCCCCAGGGCGGCAAGGGGGCCGCCTGCAAAATTCCATGCCCCCTCGCCGCCCATTTGCAGGCGGGCCCCCGCACAGTGCAAAATCGCCCTCGCGGAGGGCGGCAAGGGGGCCGCCTGCAAATTTCCATGCCCCCCCTCGCCGCCCATTTGCAGGCGGCCCCCCGCACAGTACAAAATCGCCCTCGCGGAGGGCGGCAAGGGGGCCGCCTGCAAATTTCGTTGACGGCCGTCGCCCGAGAGCGAACGGCCGTCTGCCACGTCATTTTCGCCGCCCTCTGGGAGGGCGATTTTTAAAAATCGTCCTCCCAGAGGGCGGTAGGCGACTATTTCCGTCAATTTTCAAAATGGAAAATTATTTTTGTAAAACTTTTAATAAAAAAAATTATAAATAAAAAAAATTCGAGCGGCGACATCGGGTAATACATGGGCTGGAAAAAATGATGAGGCCCATGGCATATCTAGGCCCATGTAGCGTGCTGCGGGCCTGTGGGCAAGATGCCAACAGATTAGCGCTCCACTCCAGCACACAGCACGGCAGCACCGACAAACGTCTTGTGCGGCGGCGGATCGCCATCGGAGAGTGGTGGAGCGCCGACCGGCCGTAGCTGTCGTCGTCGTCGTCGTCGTCGAGCGTTTCGTTCGGGCAGCGCTCTGCTAGGCGTCTGCCCCCGACACAATCTTATCACCATTATTAGGTCTGTTCGGTAAAGTTTCAGTTTAGGTTTAGTCGTACAGTTTCAGCTCTATTCAAAACATGACGAAAGTTGGCTGAAGTGTTTTCACAAATAAACTAGAAATGTGGAGCTAGAATTCGGATACTCTATAACTTTACTCCATGTCTCCATACTTAACTCTTAGAGTTGAATTTAGAAGTTTGGAACCTATTAAACATGTCCTTAGCATTGGTTGCTAACCCTTACGTTTGTAATTAAATCCATTGCCGGTAGTAGCTATAGCGTGAGTTCTAATTTGTAAATAGCAATTAGCTATAATAACTTTGTCGTTCTTCGTAAGCATATTTTTTGAACGGTTAAACAGTGTTATATATAAAAGTTTTTAAAAGAATCAAATAAATCCATACCTCTTCTCTACAATTATAAAAGTTGAAGATGTTTTTGTCGGTACTTTGATACGTCATCCGTATTTGAGTCAGTTATTGAGTTCATTCGCTTTTGGAATTACAAATTTAGATTTGAGTAGGTTTTTAAATTTGTTTGCTTTTGAAAATATATAGAGAAGGAGTCGTATACGAAATCTCTTTAAAAAAACTCGCATGCTAACTTAAGACGATCTAATTGTAGCTCATGATCTTGTAAAAATAATATCCAAGCAAATTCTTACAGTGAATTTCACTTTAGCTAAACCGTATAACAATAATAAGATTAAGATAACCTTCACCTATTGCAACGCATGAGCATTTTTTTAGTTTATTTTTAATTTTAAAACAATTAATATTTATTTGATTAATTTTAAAACTTTGCCGCCGGCCACGTCACCTCGCTCAAGCTCCCCCGGAGGCCTAGACGGTCACGTCGTGCCGCTCAAGCTCGAGCTCTGCCACCAGAAGTGCCACCGCGAGCACTGCGCCGGCGATGCCACTGCGCTCAAGCTCCGCCACCAGAAGTGCTGCCACGAGCACTGCACCGGCGACGCCACTACGCTGGAGCTCTGCCACTAGAAGTGTTGCTGGTATTTATTATGAGCACAGAATAATCTGCAAGCGCACATATACCGTTGTAGCTTTTACCAAGAGTATCCTAGGGTAGCGTATCCACAGAGAACGTATGTGCACAATTTAAGAACATGATTCTTCCAAGAGCAACAATTAAATGATAGGATTGGGATAGAGAGGATTTCTATGAGTTAATTAACTTAATTTAAGTTAAGGTAAAACTATATCAATTACTTTTATGCTAAAATTGACGGTCGGATTTGGTACTTGAGGAACGTCAACAACTACCGCCACGAGCACCGCGCTAGCAACGCCACTATGTCGAGTTCAACCGCCTACTATGCTTGCGGGCTCGAGCACCGCTACCGTCCGTGCTGCCGCACTCGTCCTCCGCCGCCGGACACGTTGTCGTCGAAAGCGTCATTGCGCTCAGACCGTTCCCTCTCCTGCTCCCTTGCTCACTCGCTCTAGACCGTAGGAGGAAGAAGAGATGAGCATGCATGAGAGGAGGGGATGAACAAGGGCAGTATGATCCAAGAAAAATAAAAAATGCAGCAAAGGGATATGTGGTGGTATGTATCTGATTTCAACATATATTTACAATGCTATTGTTCCAATTAGATAAATGGTAATGACATATTTTTTTCCGGGGTAATGACATATTTTAAAACTGTCAAATTTATAACAACATATATTCAATTAACCTTTTTTATTTACTCGTGAGTCTATCAAAGATCAAAATAATAAAGATATAGATACAGATACATATACATATACATATACATATACATATACATATATATACACACACACGTATACATAGATATAGTGTTATAAAGGAGAGAGATATAGATAGATGTAGATATAATAATCAGATAGTACAAGAAACAGCTGCCGGTCGTCTGCTATAAAAACCTCCAGCCATCTCTAAATGCGTGGCCCATGGTGTCGGATTCATAGCCGCGACGAAATCCCCATCCCTAAGTGTCACTACTACTGGTACGGTGATGTGTACATCTCGCCCACCGGCACGAGCTCGCCGCGCTTTCCATTATTAGCCGCTCTTGCAAGTGTGAAGTGTCCAGGTAGCCATTTTGCATGCATTTTCCGGCTTGTGTACAGTGCTTGCAGCAGAATACCATGGCCCGCTGCTTCGTCCTCAACACCGGCGCCAAGATCCCGTCGGTCGGGCTCGGCACATGGCAGGCCGAGCCGGGCGTCGTCGGCAATGCCGTCTACGCCGCCGTCAAGGTGATGTTGCGTTGTCTGAATTTCGTGACAAGTTAATTTTTCATGTGTCTTTTGTGCTGTCTGAATTTTCACGCAGGTTAATTTTTCATGTTCTTTTGTGCTGTCTGAATTGTATGCTTCTACAGGCTGGTTATCGGCACATCGATTGTGCTCAAGCCTACTTCAACGAAAAGGAGGTAAATTACTAAATTTGTCTCCAATTTGCCTAGTTAAGTGAACGATCTCTGAGTTTTCAGAGCAGCCTAACCAGTAACCACTGTGGCTCTGTAGATTGGGGTCGCTCTCAAGAAAGTGTTCGACGAGGGCATAGTCAAGCGCGAAGATATATTCATCACCTCCAAACTCTGGTTAATTACCTTCTTAATTTCATCCTCATTCCAAAACCTCCAAACATTCTTGGCTTAGGCGAGCACCAGCAATTACAGTAATCTTGGAACATGACTGAAGAACTCGCAACTTCTTGCAGGTGCACTAACCATGCTCCGGAGGATGTCCCGGTTGCACTGGACAGCACGCTTCAGGATTTGCAGACCGACTATGTGGATCTTTACCTTGTGAGTATGCAATGCGTGTGAGATTCATGTTCCATTTCGTGATAAGTTTCAGTCCATTTCTGGAGATGTTCTGGTTCTGGTTGTTCCTTTCTTCTTTTTTTTTAGCCGTGTGTATTTTATACAAAGACCGAGGGTGACTATTGTATGATGTAATTAACTGAGTTTAAATAAAGCTTTCATTATCTTAAAAGTATCCGAGTTGAGGATGCTCACGCTGTTCGTCAGATCCACTGGCCAGTGAGGATGAAGAAGGGCGCCGGCTTTGGCGGGCAAAACGTCCTCCCGACCGATATCCCGGCGACGTGGGCGGCGATGGAGAAGCTCCACGACTCCGGCAAGGCTCGCGCCATCGGCGTCAGCAACTTCTCGAGCAAGAAGCTGGAGGACCTGCTCGCCGTCGCACGCGTGCCGCCGGCCGTCGACCAGGTGGAGTGCCACCCGGTGTGGCAGCAGACCAAGCTCCGCAAGTTCTGCACCTCCAAAGGAATCCACCTCTCAGTATGTTGCTCAGCACTGCAAACTACCGCTCCCTTTATTCTCAGATACTCCCTCCGGGATTTTGGTTGAATAGGATATCCTATATACGTGTATTATCAAACAAAAATCTCTTATATTTTGCGATGGAGGAAGTAATTAACATTGGCATTATTTAAGCATAAACTTTGAACCTTTTTTTACAGAAAGTTTTATAAACATATGAAAATACACTATATTATTGAAGTATATAAGTTATAAATATAACCATACAATTTCATCACAATATAATCATTTGAAAGCAATATGTGGTCAATGTGAGATAACCTCAGTTTACTGTGTCAGTTATTCATGAATGAGTACATTTATAGGGGAGTGGATTCTAATTCCTCGATGGGATGTCCCCTCGTATATTTTTTTTTCAAATTCGATACAAATAGTCGTAAAAAATATGAAAAAAAATAACTATGTTGAGTATTGTGATATCTATCTGTCAAAAAAAATTAAATTCGACTTACACATCGAGAAATAAAAAAGACAAATTCAGATGTGAACAGTACACTACTATTCATATGCTGAATTTATCTTTTTATATCTCGATGTGAGTTTGGACCTAAGATTTTATGGAGTTGTATAGATAGGAGTACATCCATTTTTTAATAAAATGACACAGTTAACTTTTTTATAAGCATTTGATCATTTGTCTTATTCGAATTTTTTAATGCGAATATAAAAAATAAGTCATGCTTAAAGAACATTTGACGATAAATCAAGTCATAATAAAATAAATAATAATTACATATTTTTTTTAATAAAACGAATGGTCAAACGTATCTTAAAAAGTCGACGGTGTCACATAGTAAAAAACAACAGCGTCATATATTAAAAAACAAAGAGAGTATATTGTATGAGTGTTATCAATTTTTTCCAGAATTTTTATAACCGTTTGAATGGTTTTTAAGCAAATGAAGGGACATCCCCTTAAGGGATCAAAATAGTTCCCCCATTTACAGTGGTAGTAGTACTACTAGTATTACAATCGGTAGAAGTGATTCTAGCTGTAGTTTTATGATTTCTACTACCAGAAGTACCAGTAGTTAAGGTGGTAGTATAAATTAGATATCATCCATTAGCTTAGATAAGATGAACGGTCTAAATTGATTCTACTACCAGTAGAATCAATTGTAGAACACATAGAAAGAGAGTAATTAACCTGCCTGATGCTGAACAGCTGAAGCTATTCTGAACAGGATATCACCCAACTCTGAACTTCTCCTTCAGTGCATTATCCTAGTGATGTGCTTCAAATCTTCTTCTTTGTCATGCGTCACTGCAGGCGTACTCGCCGTTGGGCTCGCCGGGGACAGCGTCGGTGAAAGCGGTGGGCAATGTGCTCGCGCACCCGGTGGTCGTCTCCACGGCGGAGAAGCTGGGGAAGACGCCGGCGCAGGTGGCTCTACGGTGGGGGATTCAGATGGGGCACAGCGTGCTCCCGAAGAGCACCCACGAGGAGAGGATCAAGGAGAACATTGACGTCTATGACTGGTCCATCCCGGAGGACCTGTTCATCAAGCTCTCTGAAATCGAGCAGGCAAGGCCGGAGTCAGCTTCAGCAGCAGACGCTCTGAAACTCTGTTCTTGTTGGGTCTTTTTTTTTTGGGCAAGATGGTGAATTGGTGATGGTTCTCATGAATGGCGATTTTGATTTGCAGATGAAGCTGATCCGTGGAGAATTCTGGACTCACCCGGAAGGCGTCTACAAATCAATCGAAGAGCTTTGGGATGGCGAAATCTAATGATCGACTTGGCTGGACTGAAGTTTGCTTTCTTCGTGTGGGTGAAAAACTGGAAACTGCCATTGCTGCAAATAAAGTGGGGAAATGTTAATCAATGAATGAATAAAAGGAGTTTAAGTCTACAGCTACCATTTTGCTGGTACTGGCGTGTATTTTTACAAGAACCGGAATCCAGAATCTTTACCGGCAAAATTATCAGTAATTTGGACATTTGTTTAAAAGAAGGCTTTATCACAGATTTTGGATGTAGTTTGACGTCTGCTTTCTTCTGCTCACTCGCTCAGTTCCTTAGTAACCTGCGATACGTTTTTCCTAGGTGTAAATGTAACTTTTGTGTGGCTAACTAAAGCATGCCAATTCAATAAAGTATTTTAAAACATATACAAAATGTTTCACCTCAACGAGTCCCCGCCAGGCGATGGCATCAGGTCAGCACTCCAGTTCGCCACTCTGATCTGAGGTCTCAGCCTCTCACCATCTTCTGCGGTACCAGCTAGCCAGGCCCCTCACCTGCCGGGGACAGGACATCACCGGGCAGTGTCCAGCAGCTCACGGACCCCGCACCAGCAGCACAACCTGCCCGCCACTGCCATTGAACAAGTGAAGGCGAGTTCATTGGGGAAGAAGCATTGGCAGTGTTAGAATTGTCACCTGATGGCATAAGTGTTTACTAGATAATAGATAACTTGGCCGCTGCATCTCTGATGGCATAAATGGGCATGAGTTTGCGATATGAGTAGCATATTTGGGACAAGTAAAATTTCAGTGACATAAGATGTTTTCTCTCAAGTGTACAATGATTTTTAAATGCTGCCAGTAAGTAGTTAGTCAGCATCTTGATTTTGTTGTATGACTTCAGCAGCTAATATTTCTAGTTAAACTTGTTTCGAAAGTCTTTCTGAAATATAAATTGACTTGACTCACCCTTAAAATAAATTACTTGAGCTGTGATGCTTGCCTATTGCCTTCTCTTTGGCAGATCAATTGCCAAGATGCGATTTCTCTATTTCAAATTGCATTAGCTTCGTCAGTTGCAGGTTTCTCTAAGTCTCATCTAGAGTGGTCAATTATGTATTATTAAATGGATTCTGGAAGCTCTTATTTTAGAGTATACTACTGGTGATCACCGGGCTCATTTCAACCGCTGCATACCTTGGCTACCTACCATTAGTGCTCAGATCTTCTTGCTCAGACACCAGGTAAGCTCAAGTTCGCTCTCTGTTGGATTCCATCGACACAAGAAGAGGAAGCTTGGAAACCAAGGACAGTTTGATCTTTGGAGTGAATATGGCTGAATCCTTTGTCCTAAACACCAACGCGGCGATCCCATCAGTCGGTCTTGGCACCTGGCAAATTTCACCAGGTGCTGTTCAAGATGCCATCCGCGCTGCTGTCCAGGTCTTTTCATTTCTTCTTGATGATTAACAATCAATATAGGCGATAGTCTTATTATCTTCTATTTCGTTGTTACTCATGCTGCACCCACCTGCGTATAACAATCATGTCGATCGACTGGATTTTTCTGTTCATTCATTTGCTCAGTTAACCCAAAAAAGGTTAATTAATACCTGAAATGATGACATTTTTCAACTTCTTTTGAAGAAAATATGAACAGTTCTCATCTGGTCCTTACCTCTGTTTGGATGTAAATGTTATCTTCTTGTACTGGTGCAGGTTGGATATCGTCATATTGACTGTTCTCCACAGTATGGTAATCAGAAAGAGGTAAGTTGCTCCTGAAACCTTCATGCTTCTATTTTATATAAGCTTAAACTGAAATGCAAGGATATCTGAAATACGTAGTAACTTTATATTTCTTATACACCGTTTGCGGTTGATTCCAATAATAGTTTGACAAATGTTGCACTAAGAATGACAAAGTAATATCACGCAGTTGGTGTCAGAGCCTTGCAGTTTAAGGTTTTAAGAGTGATTCAACTACATTTCTTCACTGTCAAATACTCATCCCTCTAGAGTTAAAAGTAGGCAAAAGTTGCGTCCGCTTTTGGAGGTTGGTTTGGCACTGAAGAAATTATTTGACGAAGGTGCGGTTAAGCGTGAAGATTTATTCATCACATCTAAACTGTGGTAGGTTGTAAAACTATACTACCTTTCGTATTGCATATTTTTTCTTATATAAAACGATTAATGAAGTCAATTCACTGTAAGAAAATGTTCCAAAATTTTCAGGTGCACACACCATGCTCCAGAAGATGTGCCAGAGGCGATTAATACCACATTAAAGGATCTGCAGCTTTACTACTTAGATTTGTACCTAGTAAAATATCCTAAGCCTATACTTCTTGTAAAAAGAAAACTATTCAGTTATAAATAGTATTTGCATTTGTGCCATGGGTTCTTCTTACTCTTTGTAACAGGAATTCCTAATCCATTGTGACAATCTTTAATCTCTCCTACAATTTATCACGTCACAGGTCCACGGTCCAGTTCGTGCCAAGAAAGGTACTAAATTGAGTGTGGAAAATTACCTCAAGCCTGATATCCCAGCTACATGGCAAGCAATGGAGAAGTTGTATGATTCAGGCAAAGCTCGTGCCATTGGCGTGAGCAATTTTTCATGCAAGAAGCTGGAGGACTTGCTCAATGTTGCTCGCGTGCCTCCAGCGGTCAACCAGGTGGAGTGCCATCCGGTTTGGCAGCAAGGCAAGCTCCGGAAGCTCTGCCAATCCAAGGGCGTTCATCTTTCTGTAAGTTCGAACTGTATTAAGACGTTCCTATGATCCTCTCACTGTTTACTTTCCATTTCTTTCCAACTTTGGTCAGCAACTCAGCATATTAATCATTTACTTCACTCTGATTTGTTTTCATGCTATTCTTGCAGGCATATGCACCATTAGGTTCACCCGGATCACCAGGGAACGATGGACCAAACGTTCTGAGCCATCCTACTGTGATTTCCATTGCCAAGAAGCTGCAGAAAAGTCCTGCTCAGGTTGCTCTTCGCTGGGGTATTCAGATGGGACAGAGCGTGCTCCCAAAGAGCGACAATGAGGTGTGGACAAGGGAGAACATTGACATATTTGACTGGTGCATCCCTGAAGAACTGATGGCAAAGTTCTACGAGATTCAACAGGCATGGCTCCATATTTTGACAAATTACTTGCTGAAAGCCTGATACTCTAAAGATTTTTCCTGAGCTGTACGTTCTGTTTGCAACATGCAGGTTAGGCTTTTCAAGTACGAATTCTTGACCCATCCGACGAGCTTTTACAAGTCGCTGGAGGATTTCTGGGACGGGGAGATCTAAAGCCAGCAGCCAAATTCAGTTCCCCAGTTCAGCTGCTCGTGGCGTTGCATAACAGTTCACCGTGTTTAGATGCTTCGAATCAAATGTATCCAGGATAGGGATGAACACTTTGTGATGGATCCCAAAAACTGTCTTGAGTTCGTCGATTTCTAGCATTCTCATAAGCTCATTGTTCAGTCTGACTGCCTGAGTCTTTTTCCTGGAAAATCAAGAAAAAGAAGAACCGTGAGAAGCAGCCATCAAGCAGGCCGTGCAAGAGAAATTTGGCGCCGGCCGCGGCGGCGCAGCGCGCAGCGAGGGTAGTATTAGTACACCTTCCTCACCAAGGGAGATGGGAGGTGGTCGGCGTACGGCAGGAGAGGCCGGAGTCCGGCGTGATGCCGTGATGACGCCGCAACGCGGCATCCGCGAGCGGGGGCCACCGCCGCGGCAGCGGGGGTGGGGAGGAGGTGACGAAGCTGACCTGGGCGCTTCGGCTCCATATTCCCGGAGGAGTAGAACGGCCGCGCGGTTTGCCGGCCGAGATCCTTCCCCCGCCGCCGCCGGCCCGCCGCGCCGCCGCGCCGGTATCCTCTGCCCGCGGATTGGATCGTGCGTGGGCGTGTGGCCCAAAAAAGAATGGCCCACATGTCAGCCGCGATCCAGTTCTAGCCCAACAACTATGGGCCGCGCCTTATACCGTTCCGGCCCAACATGGATGGGCCTAACGTGGAATCCAACGGTCCAGAAGCGTCGGCACCTTCAGCTCGACGGTAATGGGGAAAGACCTGAGAAAACCCTCGCAAAAACCTTTGCGGCGTCCATGGCCGTCTCCTCTACCCTACGGCGAGCTCGATCTCACCCCTCCTGGGCGGCCGCCGCGCGCGGCCTCCTCGCCACCTGGGGCGCCGGATCCGGCGGCCGCGTTCGTCATCCGCGGCATGGCGCCGCGTCCGCGTCGTTGTTCTCATCGTTGTCCAGTTCTCAGACGAGCGCCGCCGACGCACAGCTCCTCCGGGTCATAAACATGGAGATCTCCTACGCCCAGAAAGATTGCAAGAATCGCAACTGGGTATTTACTACTCATCTCATCCCTCACTGATGATTTCCGTTTTTGTGGACAAAAGACTCAGAGAGAAAACAACATCTGCGATTAAGTTCGCCTCTTTAGAGTTTAGACGCCGCTTGAATCGTGTTCCTGGCTATGAGGCTCATCGTTCCGCTTATACTTATGCTTATCCATGCGACCTTTAGCAACCAAAAATTGATTTGGGGGTAAAACTTTTATATATGTCCTTAATGATTCGAAAGTAAATGTTGTAAAATAAACTGCAATGAAAAAACCGTAAAATCAACTTGAAAATTAAGTTTTAAAATTTAAATTTTGGCTTATAAGCATAAGCAAAACGATAGGGGCTATAAACTTTGTTTGTTGCAATTTATGGGCACGTCTGTTTAGACTTTGAAAGGAAAAGTGTACCATTATAGTACATGGCAAACTATATCAGACAAGAAGCTTACTAGGGGCTGTTTAGATTGTAGTCAAAATAAACCTAATGTCAAAATTTTGGCAATTTGGCAATATTTCCAAGTTTTGGCAGGATTTCTTATTTATTTACTAGAGTTTGGTAAGAAACTAAATGGATGCACATATTTAGCAACTTTGCTAAAAAATGGTATAGTTTGAAATGGCATCAATCTGAACAAGCCCTAGATTTCTGAGATGCTGAAAGATGCCATCCTTTTTAATATGGAATTGTAATGTGTGTTTATGTTCTGCCAGTCAAAGGAATTAGGTGAAGGCTTTCCTTTTGAAATCCAAGATAAGGATGGTACCAACATGATGACGCTTAAGAGGAGTGACCATAAAGAACAAATTGAAGTGGAAGTGTTCTTGCCAAGCGCTGTCAATGAAGCTGAGGAAAATGGCGAGCCAGAGGATCAGTGTGAAGATGGCAAACATAGAACTCACATTGGCAATGGTGTCCCGGCCCAGTACTGTATCCCTTTGATAGTGAGGGTTCGCAAAGAAGCAGCTTCATATTTGAAAATCAGCTGTAGCTCTTACCCTAACGAACTCATCATTGAGAGCTTGTCGTTTGAACCGAATGATGAATCTGGTGATTCGGCCAGTCTTGAAGCTAAGTTGAGGTGAGCATCACCCCCCCCCCCCCCTTTTTTTAATTCTATGGTGCATTTTGTAGTTTTACTGATCATGGATGTAAACTCTTTTGCAGTAATCTTCCTGAGGAATTTCAGAAGGCAGTGTATTCCTACTTGAAGAGTAGGTGCATTTCGACTGATATTACCGACTTCTTACATGCGTACATGATAAACAAAGAGTGCCATGAATACTTGTCTTGGCTGAGAAAAGTGAAGGGTCTGATTAAAAGTTGAATAAAAGTGAGGAATGGGAGCGCCATCTTGTACTTTTCGTAGTTTGGCCATGTTTCTTTTCCTTGAAATTCTGTTTTCACCGGGTTTAGATGTGCCCAAAGAGAACCAAAAAAAATTCAAGAACAAGTTTATCTTGACCAGTTTTGATTAGCAGCAATGACCAGTATTGCAGCCTTCCGCTAATAACTGTGACCAGGAGGCATTGCTGGTTGCTGCTAGCCTGCTACTCACTCACAACACGTCACATTTGATGGGATCTATGACGATCATGCAATTCGCTACAAAGATTTCACCTATGATATGTAAACTTTTGTTGTTCTGCTCCAATCCTAGCAATTTAGTGCTAATCACTAAAGGATCTTACAGAAATGCTTAGAACTGAGTATAATTCAGTCCAGGATCATGAATTTCGTAGGCAGGTTGGAGACAAACTTTATAATAACCAGAAGAAATCCGTTTACACCACACTGATGACTTTCAGATTTTGTATCCAAATGATGAAAAGGTTTACGGAAAACAAGTCGTTTGGAAGCATGTGGTATACGATGTAACCATACACTGATACAAACTAACCTCAATGACTATAGCAGGTTATGACATGAAAATCGAAAATTGCCGAGACGCGGATTGTTCAAACTAAAAAAAAAAAGGTGTCAATCACTTAACCATGAGCACGAACACGCCATTTGTCAAAATATAGTCAAATGGTTATTGTACTTCAAAATGGTCCAAGGTTCACTATGCAAATTTAGATGACACTCGGCAATTCTGAATTGGAATATACAGTGAAGTTCTTGGAACTAGATGAGTAAAAAACCCTTAGAAATGAACAAAACACAAGGTCTATCAATCTAGTGTTAATATGTATGTCAAGTAAAACTAGTCCACTTGGTCCTCAAAAGGATGCTCGCCAGAACAGAATGATGGGAGCAGACAAAACATCAAGCTCACCTGTCAAAAGCAAAATATAACCTATTAGAATACTTTGACCCAATTTGATAAGGAACAATAGAATGATAAGACTACTAACTTACATTCATAAAGGCACGGTCCGTGTACTGTTGGGAAGGTTTTTGGTGCTATGGTATCTAGTCGCTAAAAGGTAAAAGGAGAGGCAGACCTGAGCAACACCAAAAAAGACAATCTCAGGCGAAAAAGAAAACTTTGATGAACAGTGCCACAGCAAATTGGAGAACTGCAGCACTAGCAATCAAAACCATCATATCCGCTCCTTCAGTGCATTCCTTCAAGTTTAAGGAGATGACCCAAGATGAAGCACCACCAAGAAGGATTATGATGACCCACCGAAGAAATTCCACGGGGATAAGTACCACTACCTGAAGCAAAGAAAATTAGGGCCTACATTAGACATAGCAGCCTTCTTGAGCAGGAGCAGGAAGTGCAAGCCTAAATCTCACCAAGAGATTTCAGTTCCTGCTCATCTCTTCTAAACATTTTCCCCAGGTACTTTCCAAGTATACATGATGTCCTGTTCTTCTGAACATCAACAACTCCTGGTTATACTGATATCATTGTTATGGACCTGGCACAGCCAATTAAAAATATTCAGGCCAATATTCAACTCACCATTATATGCTGGTATTCAAATCTGTATCGTCAAAACCTTCAAATGTCATTCTGTATTCCCAACATCAAATAAATATAACATCTCTAATTCTTGTGGCTGACTTATAAAAATGATGTTCCCTCTGCAAGGTCACTATTCCATCTTCGTAAACATACCTGATCAGCTCTAGCTTACTGCACTTCATGAACTGCATAGTCAATTGGAGCTAGATGAACTGCATGCAGTTGAAGAATCTTCTACGTACCCAGAGCCACTAGCACAACAATGATTTCCATTCCTTTGATTTTTAATCCTTCCATGGCTGCATGACCACCCAAAAAGAAAAATCAGTGACAATCTTATCTCAATCTGGTATCATCATGTCTCTTTCAAGCCCCAACACCCAACAAAAATACCCTATGTAGAATATACATCACAATTCCTACACAATTACCTGGTCTTTTCACTTCTTAGTAAAACAAAATGTTTTCCTAGGATACACATCTCAAACATGTTTTTCCTTGTATTTTCTGTAGGCTAGGGGAGGAGGAACAGGAAAAGGATGAACGGAAGTAGGAGAAGTTGCAGAGGAGGAACATGAGCAGGTGGGCGAGCAGGAGGCAGAGTGTAAGGATGCCTAGCTGACACATTTTATCCTGTGTCAAGCCAAGATGATATGTCAGCCCCAGCCAGATTAGAGACCTGATCTTCAGCAAAAATTCAGAAATTTGGCTACTCTGAACTTCCAGATCCTGACAACAAGCAGGGCCATCTCCAGGCCATTGCTGGCCCATCCATAGCAGCAGCAAGAGAAGCAGAGGCCGAGACGCAGGGAGGATGAAGGCAATTTTGAGGCAGGAACTTTCTTCTCCTTCTTTGCTCGAGATTTAATCTCGCTCACACGGTCACACCTAAACTGAATCATGCTTTTTTTCCCCTCCACCATTAACAGTTTGCTTCATACGAACGAGGTGCCTACATTTTCATGATATTCATATAGTCTGAACTCTGAATATGCGATTTATGCATGTGTTTGTCATTATTACTCCAAACCTGTCTGCCTGCATTTCATACTTCCTGCTGGATCTAATTGTGAGTTACTTACTGAAGAATGATACAATGAATACAGTAGGCTTCTCTAGAATCTAGAAGCTTGAATACTTTATTGTTTAGTTCAGAGTGTAATATTTGGTTAGATTTACACAGAGCCATAACAGTAACAATTAGCCATGGACAGGTTGAAATGGCACAATACAGGGTTCTTAAACGGGACCCTAAAGACGTGCAAAGCACGATTACATGACTAATATGAATGAAGGAAGTGCCCATTTTCATTACAACACTTGCATATATGCATGAATGCTTGTATCCATAAAAATTATTAAAAAGATCCTCTGAAGTGAAGGGGATAGAATAGAGCATACTACTGCAAACAACTCCTTAATTTGAAGGACTAAATACGCCTATTCTATCCAAGAGGGCATTAACTACCAATGTTTCACACGCATTATACTATTCTAGACAACTCACAACTGTACTTTGGAGGCAACAAGCAGCTATAGAAAAGCACAAGTAAAGCCTCCTACAGGAGAAACTGCCATTGCAATGGTTGAGTCAAATAAAAAATGTGGATTACCTGGATCTGACTGGTGCAGTGAAGTTGAGCTTCTGGAGGTGCTTTCTCATGAGTTTGTTCATCTCCTGTTAAACAAAATGTTGCTTAGACTACTGTATGGCATTATTTCTGAAAACTGTCCTTGTTGAATATAGTTAGTGTTATTGAGGCCATCAGATTACCAATACATTCATTCAAACATAGGACAATTTTGTTCTTTGCACAGGCATTGTAGAGCCACTCCAATATTAAAACACAAGTAAAACTGCTTGTTGTGGATTATGAATGCATAACTGAACTGGTGAAAAGAACTTCTATATCTTTGCGGTCCAGTGTAGCTGTAGATTCCTGTAATTCAGCATGCCAAAACTTGAGAAGGTAATAAACATGCTGCTTTGATGAACGGTTTCACTTCATCAAACATAAAGCCAAAAAAAATGAGAGCAAGTTTATTCCTGTTTCTGCATAAAGCAATTATACCACTTGTGGCAACTGGCTTTCTCTGGCAATGCTAACAAACCAATGCTCTAGTATTAACACTGATCTCTGCTTCTACAAGCAACTACAACACTATTTGTGGGCTTGTACTGATATCAACTATAGACAACCCAATACTCTAATGTCAACTCACAGTAATATTGTTCAAATTGGCACTGCCAGGGCGTACACCTTATCCAGTCAGTTTGTTCTGCCCTTCATTCACCAGAAATCACCACAGGAGCAGGCCCCGCCATTGAAGTGATGGAACCTGCTGCAGTCTCGCATGATGATCTCCCTGTCCTCAATCATCGAAACCATCTTCATAACCATATGGCAGTCCCCACACACCCTTAGGTTTTTGACAATCTGAAGGGGTGTTCCAGGTGGTGTAGCTATCAGGCCAAAGGCAAGAGCTAGTCGCTCGCTGTGTGCAACCAGCATGGCTTCCTTCTGGTCTTCTGCTATGTCATGAAGCACAAAGCTTGTGTTCGGTGAATAACCATCTTGCTTCAACCTGGTTATGATTACCTTGAGCTTTTTATATATCTGATCTGACATAGGATGTGACTTGTCAAAGGCTATAAAGGAGTGAACTTTATTCTTGATCTGAATCCAGCTGCATCCAGCTTCTTTCTTCACCTTTCTATAGTCCATGAGCTTCCTCACTTCATCCCTCTCTTTCCACTTTCCTGCAGCCGCGTAAATGTTCGAGAGAAGCACATATGTAGATGAATCATGTGGCTCAAGCGATAGCAGCTTATCTGCGGAAAACTTCCCAAGCTCAACATTTTTGTGAACTCTGCAAGCACCTAGCAATGTGCGCCATACCATTGCACCTGCAGGGAATGGCATGTCTCTTATAAGGCTCATTGTCTCATCCAGCTTGCCTGCACGGCTATATAGATCCACCATACATGCATAATGCTCCATGGTGGGATTGATCTTGTGGTCCCTGACCATCGAGTCAAAGTATTGCTGGCCTTCTACAACAAGACCATTATGAGTGCATCCCATGATAACAGCAAGGAATGTGACGCCATCCATCTGGATACCCGAAGCTTCCATCTGTCGAAATGTTTCGATGGCCTTCATGCTGTAACCGTGCTGCGCATACCCTGATATCATCGAGTTCCATGAAACCAAATCTCTATCTGTTTGCCTCTCAAAGACAATTTGAGCACTGTCAATGTTCCCTTTCCTTGAGTACATGCTCACAAGTGCACTGCTCACACAAATTGCATCATGGTATCTGTATTTGATCGAAATAGCATGGAACTGCCTACCCTGGTCAACACCAGCTGATGGGCAAGCACAGGCATCAATTACACTTGATATTGTGAACTCATTTGGCTTGATTCCTTGGATGGCCATCTTGTTGAATAAATATGTGGCACCTTCACAGTCACCAGCTTGGGCATGGCAAGACAACATTGCGGACCATGCAACGACATCCTTCTGCTCAATCATTTTGAATATAGAGAGGGCATCTTCAGTGCTGCCAAATTTTGAGTATGAAGCAAGAAGTGCAGTTCCAACAAATGGGATATGCTGGTAGTTGGTCTTGATGACCTGGGCATGTATCTGGGGAGGTAAGATGGATAGTGATGCTTTCAGCATTGCAGAGTAGGTGAACTCATTTGGCATGACCCTGTCTTCTCTCATTCTGCTAAAAAGAACAACAGCAAGAGGAATGTCACCATTCTGAATGCATCCACTGATAATAGCTGTCCATGAAACAACATTCCGAGATCCCGTAGTCATAGAAAATATGTTTAAAGCGTCAGCCAATTCACCACATTTGCTGTAAGCATCCGCGAGGGCTGTCATTACATTTCCAGTCAAATGAAACCCATGTTTCAACACACAGCTGTGGAGTTGACGTGCCAGGGCCAGTTGTTTGAGGTTTGCACATAACTTAATCACTGTAGCATATGTTGACTGTGTCATCTTTCCCATGGTGGCTCGTGATTCATGGAACAGTTGTAGCGCTTCCAGTTCGCACTCATTCAATTGAAGACCTGCCATTAACGTGTTCCATGACACCATGTCTCTGGTCTCCATCCAATTAAACACAGACTTGGCATCTTCAACCAATCCACACTTTGCATACATGTTCATCAGAGAATTGCAGACAAACACGGACGAGCGGCATCCAAACTTAACTGATTGAGCATGCACACGCTGCCCAAGATCAAGTGCACCCTGGCTCGCTACTGCAGAGAGAACGCTCGCGAATGTGAATGGATTGGGCCATATACCCTCAGCACGCATCCTGAAGAATAAGGCCATGACCTCCGAATGCATCTGTGCGTGAGCACAACCAGTTAGCAACGATGTCCACGTGACGACATTCTTCTTAGGCATTCCTTCAAACACCTCTATCCCCTCACAGACGCTACCACACTTCATGTACATATCGACAAGCGACGTACCGGCACTGACCTCACCTCGATCATGCCCACACTTGACGCACAGGCAATGCAGCTGCTCCCCAAGAACTCTGTCTGGCACTGATCTGCAAGCCTTGAGAACACAGGACAGCGTGGCGCTGTCAACCAGCACGCCGCCGCGGCGCGCGACAGAGAACTGATCCAGGACCTCCAGGACCATCCCGCGCCGCGCATAGTCGAAGAGTACGCGGTTGGCGCCCACCGCGGCATCCCGGCGAGGAATTTCGTCGAGCGGGTAGCGGGCACCGGGAGGGTCACGGAGACAGACGCCATCCTCCACCCGGGCAGGTGACGCGCGCGTAGCAAGCAGCTTCGGGACCTGCTCTGGTGCGAGGTTCACTGCATTCTTGCCGCGGAGTAGACCTGACAGCGCCGCCGCGGTTCTTGGTGTCATGCTACGGACGGAGAGCGTCGATGTGTGGCCGTGGCCCGTGTGGGCTTGGAGTGGGGAGATGTCAGCGGAGATTGGATTGGATTGGATTGGACTCTACACTGCGGCCCTGCGTGTGCAGGAAAAATTTGTACACCAGGACGGCGCGGCGAGGTTACGGCAAATGCGGCGGCCGGCGGCGGCGGAGGAGCCCATCGAGCACAACGGACAAGGGACCGATGATGATGAGACATTCTTTACGTCTTCAAGACTTGCAGAGCTCGCCGAAATTACGCCTTGAAAAGGAGCTTGCGTATTACCTTTCTACGCGTGCCTCAGTCTACTCAGCGAGATAGTATTTTTTAGTGGACCGAACTGTCTTGGGCTTACATTAAGACCAGTATGTATTTGAGGAGTTAGGCCCGGCTAGGCCCATCTAAGACAGCATTGGCTTGTCTCGGCCCATCCAGGCTAGCCATGCGGTTTTGATTAGCACCAGTGACCAGTTTTGCAGCCTTCTGCTAACAACTGTGACCAAGGAGGCGTTGCTGCTAGTCTCCTAACAAACGTAGCTCTATTTGAGCTGTAGTTTTACGTTCTCACACACGTTACGTTTGATGGGATCTACTACGACGATTATGCAATTCATTCACTACAAAGGTTTCTTCCATGATATGTGTAAAAGCTTTTATCGTTCTTCTCCAATCCTAGCAAAAGAGTTAATCACTCAAGGATCTACAGGAATGTTTAGAATTGAGCATAATTCAGTCCAGACTCGTGATTTTCGCGGGCAGGCTGGAGACAAACTTTACAATGGTCAGAAGAACTCCGTTTATGCCACACTGATGGCATTCAGTTTTTGTACATGAAGAGTGATGTGATATTGTGATGCACAAAAACGAGGTAGTCGTTGGGAACCGCATGTTATGTACCCATACACTGATATAAACTATACCTCAATGACTATAGCAGGTTACGATAACATGAAAATTGAAAAATGATGCTACAGAGACGCTGATTGTTCAAACTAAAAAAAGGTGTCAATCACTCAACCAAGAGCAGAAACACGCTATTTGTCAAAATATAGTCAAATGGTTATTGTAGATCAAAATGGTCGAAGGTTCACTATGCAATTTTAGATGACAAACTCAGCAATTCCGAATTGAAACATACAGTGAAGTTCTGTGAACTAAAGGAGTAAAAAAAACTCATGAACACAAAACACAAAGGTCTATCAATCTAGTGTCAATATGTATGTCAAGTAAAACTACTCCGCTTGGTCCTCAAAAGGATGCTCGCCAGAACAGAATGATTGGAGCAGACAAAACATCAAGCTCACCTGTCAAAAGCAAAATATAATGTATTAGAATATTTTAACCCAATTTGATAATGAACTGCTACAATAAAAGACTACTAAATAAAATTCATAAAGGCGTGGTCTGTGTACTGTTGGGAAGGTTATGATGCTATGGTATCTAGTCGTAGAAGGTAAAAAAGAGAGGCAGACCTGAGCAACACCAAAAGACAATCTCAGGCGAAAAAGAAAACTTTGATGAACAGTGCCAGAGTAAACTGGAGCACTGCAGCACTAGCAATCAAAACCATCATATCAGCTCCCTCAGTACATTCCTTTAAGTTTAAGGAGATGAACCAAGATGAAGCACCACCAACAAGGATTATGATGACCCATCGAAGAAATTCCACAGGAATAAGTAACAGTACCTGAAGCAAAGAAAATTAGTGCCTGCATTAGACATAGCAGCCTTCTTGAGCAGGAGCAGGAGGTGCAAGCCTAAATGCTGGTACATCATGGATTATTTTCACTGACAGTTATTTCTGAGACTACATCTCCGAACCATCAAAGAAATGGATTACTGTGAATACTTACAGATGCTGGGATGAAGATAAACAGAGAGTATCCCCACATGCACCAAAACCGAACAAGGCTTGGGCGTGATCCAAAATACTGAAACAGGAAAAAGAATATAGCAGGCACTGCGGCAGCATAACCATACATGACCGATGCTGCCCAGTTGAAATAGCCAACATCAAAGCTCCATATGTTCAGGTCTGTTTTCCTTTGCATCAGATAAGTGGCAAAGTTTCCAAATGCAGCTAGCATGAATATCAGTGTTGTTGTGATCCATAAGGGCCCATACCTGCAAACAGCAGAATGATTTATCGCATATGAATAAGTTGGCTCCAGGTATCAAAATTATTACAATGCAAAAGCATAGATGAGTTACTACAGAAATGCACCAATACAACAATGGGTCAAAAGTCCCTTGAAAAAACCTGCATGTCCTTCTCCTCCTTAAAATCATGCTTCTAGTCCTAGATAAATAATCTCGATTATTGCAGCATATGCCTTAGCACTGTTACAACATAGTTTTGTAAAATATACAGTACTTCACCTATCCAAATGTCTATGTCACGCTGAAACTGCTTCAAAACATATTTATGGCATGTTATATGCAACTTAAAACATCACTTGCACATTAACAACACATTATATAATGTAGACAAACAATTCTATGATCCTTCGCTGTAATTGTATCCTATCATCATGAATCCATTCATTAGAAATTATGACATCAATACCAGCAGGTACTTAAGGTCGAATTTTTTAAACGTGAAGGGTGACCACAGATTGGTAATAGCCTAATAGGAGATACTTACATGTCAGGATTAGCATCAATCTTCCTGAAAAACCCATCCATTGGATAAACCGAGCTGATGAGCCTGTCAACTACAACATCAGTATCAACATTGAAATATGGAGCATAAGATGCAACATTGAAGTATCCTTTCCAATTTGTTTGAGTTTCTACATCTCCATCTGCAAAAGTAAGGAGCAACACATGGGAAAAGATAATCAGTATCATACCATCTAAGATCCAGCTTTGAGTAAAGTGCAATCATTGCACTAACTGAAACATAACAATTGACAGGGATCAAATTTGAAAGTAATATATAACGAAAAAGAAGGTGTAGTTCTTGCATCAGTTGGAAATGGTTAGAATACCACTAGTCCACTATCATATTTTTCTCTGAGGATCTGAGCATTTTGTTTAGTGCACACTAGGCAGCACTCCATACAACAGCCACCTCAAACAAATAATTCAAGCAAATGATGCTCTGAGGTTCTTGGCTATCTACAAGATAAAAAAATCACACTGCAAGATTTATTTCTATGGAGCTACTCTATCCAATCAACATATTGCTGTTTTGTGAGCCTTGCTCTACCCTAACTCCCTAAGTACTTTTTTGCACATGAACCTTAAAAGAAAACATCAAAGCAGTACCAGGGTAATACTTTGCAGCCATATTAATAGTATTCGGGAGGAAAATCATGGGACGTAGTTCATTCGAAATGAAATAGAATATAACGCCATCACTAAGCTAAGCAACGAAAATTATTTCTTCCGGAGTGCGATGTGCTCTTGAACCCATCATTTCCATTGTAAGAAGCCTTAGCCTGTTATATACTCTTGGGACTTGGCATTCCAATATAACCCCATAAGCAAGTACACCACAGAACTAGCCATTGCACCAAAACATACCCACTAATCGGATAGCGGTAGCGCTGTCCAACAGAATACTCGGAAGAACCTAATGCAGGATGTGCCGACGCTTTTAACGCTGCGACCTGTTGTTACCTGCAGGGGTCCCTGGAGGCTGGTACCCTCCTCCTCCTCCACCAACACCACCAGTACCACCAAGAGCAGGAGGAAACTGCTGCAGACGCGAGGTGCCAACTGCATTTCCAACCGAAACCTAATCAGCAATCCGTGACAATCGCAATGGCACTAACCTTGAAACCCAACACGCAATCGAGGGGGGGTTGCTACCTTCGGCGACGGGTGAGGGCTTCCTCTCTTCGGGGGTCAAGGCGGCCTACAGAAACCATCACACCCGAATCATCACACCACATAACATCACACAAAAAACGAGACACGCGAAGCGGATAGGAGGAGGGGGGAGGGAGGGGATCGGTTACGGGGACGGAGCCGAGGAGGTGGCTGGTGGGGAGGTTGGCGTAGCCCTCGTCCATGGCCGCGCTCTCGAGGTGGGGGGGGTCGTGGCGCCGCGCGCTCAGCAGCTACGCATCGCCCCGCCGCGTCGCCGGAGCCGGGGGATGAGATCGGAGGATTGGGAAGGGGAAAGAGGGGAACTCTGGCCGTGGGGAAGTCGTCGTCGTACGTCCTCGGCTTTGCTTCGAGAGGAAGGAGGTGTCACGAGGCTTGGTGTGTTGGTGCCGCGGTTAGATTTGGTAGCCTATGCACAAAAACGTTGGCCCACTATCGCCGTTGGGGATAGCCAATCAAGGCCTTTGGATGGGCCGAGCCTATCTATCTACGCGTTGGATTTTGATTTTTCCATTTTTGCGCTAAAAATTTTGTCTCGCGTATATATAGATGAGCCAGAATTTCAGCTTATACAAAACAATATTATATGCTATTATGCCGCGAACTCTGTGGTAAGATCATCTCTAGGGAATTTTTTTTTTATATTTGTTAGAGTATCGCATCTTTGTTGATATAATGAATCATCGTATAGCATTCTTTTCCCCTCTCAAACTCTCAACGAGTTTGACGTTGTGATCAATATTTATCCATTGTCTTTTTTACCCTACTTTGACAAATACATGTAAGATAAAATGTTCATTTTGTATGTGTTCTAGAGCTCCTATCACTGTCCACACCAACATTAAACATTTCATAGGAATACTAGGGAACCAGTTCATGCAGTATCCTCTTGAGTGGGTATGGAGAGGCGAGAAGGCGAGTGAGACGTAGGCTCCACCGCCTCCACCAAAATCAAGTTCAGAATTTGTCGTCGCCTCCTCAACCGAGCACAGCAGATGTAACGGAGCCGAAGCTTGACCTCTCTCCACCAACAACGTTGATTTGTTGATAGAGTATGGTTATTGATGCCCCTCCTACCCAACCGCCTCCTCCCTACTACGATGAAAGTAGCAGAGCCACCACCGACAACATTAATCTGGCTAAGCTCAATGAGAAGAGAGGATTGCGATAACATGGGATTCGACGAGACTAAGATAGCGATGTGGAGTTTGAGATGGCTATGGAGGCATGTGATTTGATATCATCACTATCTTAAGGGCCAGCACGAAGCTTAAGTTTTAATACCTAATAGGCATTATCCCGCTCAAACGTGACCTATATAATAATTGTCTCAATATTTTAAGTGTAAATTGAAGTACATTGATTAACACATATTCTACCAGTTTATATTGAGTATTATAGTGAACTCGGTACCAAACAAATAATTTTATTTTTTAATATAATATACTGATGTACACCCTCCATCCCAAAATAAGTGCAGTTTTGTATTATTCACGTTCAACGTTTGACCACTCGTCTTATTTAAAATTTTTTTATGATTAGTATTTTTATTGCTATTAGATGATAAAACATGAATAGTATTTTATGTGTGACTAAATATTTTCAATTTTTTCACAAATTTTTCAAATAAGACGGACGGTCAAACGTTGGACACAGATATCTACGGCTGCATTTATTTTGGGACGGAGGTAGTATTATTTAGATATCGAGTGTTGTCTTTATACGTCGGGTATCACCAATTTCCAAAAATTATCGCAAACTCCCAACACATACGTGGCTGAAGCCTCTGAAGTCTGAACGGTGATGAGAGCACCTCGAGATTTGCGTCAGAACACAAGAGCGACGACCCCACCGTATCCCACACCTCGCTCACCTCACTGCCCTCGCTTTCGTCCCCCGCATCCGCACCTCGTCCTTCGCCAATTCGCCATGCCGTCGCTCGCCACGGCCGCGGCCGCGGGAGCGGGAGCGCCTCTCCGCCGCGGCCCGTGCGCACCACGCCGCCAATCCGCGCACGCCTCCTCCTCCTCCTCCTCCTCCCTCCCCTCCCCCGCGCTCGCCACGTCCACGCGCTTCGCCGCCACCGCCCCCATCCTGCGGCTCGTCCAACGAAGGCCAAGAGCGCCTCTGACGGCGGCAAGAGCGGCGAGCCCCGACGCCGCCACGGGGGCGCGATCGCCCTCCTCCGGCGGCCAGATGCTGGTGCGGATCTGGCTCTCTCTCTCTCTCTCTCTCTCTCTCTCTCTCTCGATGACGCTGCCTCTGCTTGTCCTTGTCAATTCGTTTGTGCACGTGCGCGCTAAGCTCAAAGTGGGTGGCCTCGTGATGTTTTTGTCTCGCAGGTGTTCGTGCCGCCGCACCCGCTGATAAAGCACTGGGTCTCCGTCCTGCGCAACGAGCAGACGCCCTGCGCCATCTTCAGTGAGTGTGCTTCTGAATGACGTATGAGTTGGTACTTGATAGTATTACTGAGAAACGTGGAATCTGAAACAATTCGTTAAAGCGAAGCCGTGGATTAGCGTGTTGATACTTGATAGTGGTGAAGTGATGGCGATACGAAAAATGTGTTTTACACAGCTGATTTAATTGGCTAATTGTTGCGATAAAGTTTTGATAGGATAACATTGAGCAATCTGTTTTTGTGGTAGAGAGTGCCATGGCGGAGCTTGGTCGGTTGCTTATATATGAAGCTTCCAGAGATTGGCTGGTGAGTGGGAAACTCGCTTGGCTGATCGTTTATCCGTTAATTTTCTAGGATCCATCTTACATTTCTGATGCTTTGGAAGTTGAAATTAGGCTATATAAGGGATATATGTGCCTAAGTATTGAAATTGCATGGATAATTGATACCTTGTAAAACGGTGAATGCACAAATATCTTAAGTTGTTATTGTAACTCATAATGCTTCCATTTTGCGCCTTTTTTGCATTTTTTTTTCATATACACATATTTCAACTTTGACAGATGCATATTGCTCTATAAAAAAAAGTGTAAATATTAGTCATGATTTTTATTTGCCAGTCAATAGACATTTCATTGTTGAGAGAATGATGCCATGCTAAATTGTTCTAAAACTTTTGCAGCCAACAATCACAGGAGAGATCCAAACACCTGTAGCTGTTTCAAGTGTTGAATTTATTGACCCAAGAGAGCCTGTCATGGTAAATCTAATCCTTAGTGTTAGATGTGTCAATGGCATTTGTTTTTTCTACAAATATATTTAGTCTTTTCATTAGCATGTTTAACAGGTTGTTCCGATACTAAGAGCTGGTCTTGCTATGGCTGAAAATGCTTCATCAGTTCTACCAGCCACCAAGACTTATCACCTTGGTAAGTTGGTTATGTGAAGTTTACTGAATTAGAATCAAATGTATAAAGTATATCAACTTTTGTGCTCACATAGCTGTTACATAGATTGCACGGTTGACACTCATGCAATCTAACCCAATTTGTTTTGAGTAATTTTACAGTCCTTGAGAGGTACCGAGAGGTACCAATATTTTTAATGTAAATTTTGGTACCTCCTAGTACCGGAGGTATCGAGAGGGTATTAAATTTTACAGTAGAAAATGTGGTACCTCTTCAAGAGCCGTAAAATCACTCATTTGTTTTAGTTCCCTAAGTACCAATGCTGGATATGCATGCATGGATGAGGCCAGAAACATAAAGTTGAAATATGCATAATAGACCCTAGATATTTTCTACTTCAACCAAGCCACATTATTATTCTGCTTTCTAATGATGTTTTTTTGAAAAATAAGCTCTTTTTTTTTGCATTTAGCAACTAGTATGAAAAGAAATCTAATCGAAGTTATTTGCATGTCTCTTAAATCCAATATTGCATAGTTCTTTGTCAACTACTTATCCAAATTAACATACATCTTCAAAACTATGTGCAATTATTCTTATCTGTCTGTCTCACTGAACTTGAAGGCCTGCGTAGGGATGAAGAAACACTTCAACCTTCGATATATCTGAACAAGTATGTGCTAAGTTCCTTCTCTTCTTGCAAACATCTAGTTTTCATACTGCTTTTGTAAATCGCCATCCTTGATTTTAGTTCACAAAAGTGTATATGCTTGATGGCCAGGCTCTAGTCTCAATTGCATTCCAGAATATTACAAAATGCAAAGTTCTTGGCGTTCTTTAGTTCTGTGGTAAAATTACTATAGGAGAAACCTAGGCTATCTTGATTATATATACTGGTGACTTGTAACAGTAAGAATGATGGATTGTGATAATAAATTTCCTTTCCCTTTCATACCAGCTGTTTTGCTGTTTTTTCCTTGTTGTTCAGAAAGAATTTAAATATCCAGGCCAATTGGTGTTCTCCAGTAACTTTCATTTCCCCTTTTCCACTCTAATTTAATGCAGCTTGCCAGACAAGATTCCAGAGGGGACTCGTGTGCTAGTTGTTGATCCAATGCTGGCCACTGGTAATTTTTAGCTCTTCTGAACAATTTATGTGCTGCCTAAGGTTCTTCTTTGCAATTCACAAGCTCTGTATGCACAAGAGCAATAAATAACTTGAATAAGCAATGCAATTTCAAAACCAAGCGATAAATGTATTTCTTGTTCTATGTTACATGCATATTACAGAGTGTCATCTCAAGTACTGAATACATCTGAGGAATGCCAAATGTGGCATAAAGTCAATGTGTTGCCTGAGGCATGAGAATTTGAATATTCTCCATTTCTGTTAGGAAAGAACAGCATCTCTCCTTTACAACTGAGTTGAAAACGAATTGGATTGGTCATGCAATGTTTGACAAATATATAATGCTCAAATCATGAAGCCTCTGTTCTAGCCTCATCCCATATACTCCTACTCCTTAACTTGGCTTGCTTCACTAACACAAAACAAAACGCCCTTCATTGGTCTACACGTGAGACATGGTATTCTGCCAGCAAGTTTTTATCACCACAAACTTTTCAACTTCAAACAATTGTGTTTATGATCTTTTAGACTATAGATTATACACTAAGATTTGCTTTTGCAACTCTTTTAGTTTAGTGTCTCATGAACCCATTTTAAACAGCTGATTGTTGTGATTCTTGTGGTCAAATGCTAAGCTCCAGTGTGCTAAATCTTGGGCTCTCGTGGCACTCTTGCTCTGTTTATTGCAGTGCTATAGCATTTTTGAGACCATACTGCAAAGTTCGTGGATTGTACCATTGCATATATAACTTTTCATAACCTAATTATTGGTGTTAGTAGCTAGTACAAATATAAATTGGTCTTGTGTAAGCAGAATGTTTCTCCTATCATAACTATAATGAGTCATTTTTCCCTGAGATACATTTGACCTATTCCTCCTATTCCTCTAGGTGGGACAATTGTTGCTGCTATTGACTTGTTGGTTGAACGTGGAGTTACAAGCAAGCAGATTAAAGTCGTAAGTTCATTAAACTTACTTCCTCCGTTTCACAATGTAATTCATTCTAGCATTTCCCACATTCATATTGATGTTAATGATTCATTAACATCAATATGAATGTAGAAAATGCTAGAATGATTTACATTGTGAAACGGAGGAGGGAGTACATGTTTTCGGGTATTAATTGTCCATTCTATCAACCTGACACTTCTTTGTATTCCTGATGCAGGTTTCTGCTGTTGCAGCGCCTCCTGCGCTTCAAAAGCTCAGCAACAAATTCCCTGGGTAAGAATAGATAACACAAGACATATTTGTGTGCATGACAAGTTCCTCTTGTTTACTAAATAGAGTTACCTTTTTTTCGATTTTTTTTGTTCTAGGCTTCATGTGTACACGGGAACAATTGATTCTGAAGTTGATGAGAGAGGGTAACTTATGAATTTCTATTTATCTGCTTATCCTGCAAAATATGCTTCGTGCCTGTAGGTCGTGACCATATTTCAGTGGATTTTAATAACTTCCATGTCTTATTTGTTCCCACAGGTTCATAGTTCCGGGGTTGGGAGATGCCGGCGATAGAAGCTTCGCGACTTAACTATGCTAATTATCGCAGCTGCTGTTCTACCTCCACGAGAGGGATTGGCGTAAGCTGAAATTTCCGAGGATTCGAGCGCTTTTGACTTGGGAGTCAGGAACAGTCGAGTTCACGTTCACCTGTAGATTGCCTCGTTCGAGATTCTCCCTTCGGAACTTATCGTTTTGTAATTATCCATTTTGTGTTGTCATGTTGAATATAGGATTAGTTCACGTCCATCCACGTTTACAATTTGTTGGGAATATGCATGTTTAATGTTTTCAATTATATCTTACAGATTTCTTGATACTCCATGGGAAAAAATGTTGACGATGCCTTTTCCAATCAGAGTAATAAAGCAATGTGCAAGGCAGTACTGTTGGTGTGTCGAATAGCTCATGGTTAATGATTGAAGAAGCTGACGCGCTGTTTTTAGCTAACGATCTTGCTTCATCTCAACATTCACGATCTAATACTTCCCGAGAGGCAACCGAAAAATTTGGTGGCGAATTTATCTAGAATGGTTCAAACTGCTGGGGGAAACATGAAACAAACATTTCAACAAACAATATATGCTGTGTTGATTAGAATACTTGTTTACATCCTTTACATGCTGTTCTTTTTCCAATGCTTGGTTAGGGAGAATTCCATGTGAACAATTATAGTGATTTGGAAGGTGGCGTACCAAGTGTAACATCATCATGTACTTAGACAGTCAAGGCCCACCTCCAAAACGAGCAAGTAATCACAATAGAACGCAGCTGCCTGTCACCATTGTTCATATCTTGGTATCTCCCACAAACACAATTCACAAACAGCACGAAGTTTCAGCACTAAGCACTTCTTACCACATGAACCTGCATAGAGAAACCAAACAAGCTCCAAGTTTTAACCAACTTTAACCAAATAGTGACAATACAACACGAAATGGCGCATAAAGCATTAGGTATAGACAAACTGAGGTCCTGCACAAACGTAGGGTTAGATACACACGGACCTTAAAGCTCACTATAATTCCTCCAAACAGCTCGGAATTCTTCTCTGAATGTATTCAGACGTGCTTTCAGATTAGGTGTTCTGAAGCTAGCATGAAGCAGAGTTGCTGCAAACAAAAAAACAAAAAAAAGAACTATAAGTGCAGTCCCAAGATGTATATCTATCTTTGAAAATTCAAAATCTCAATCATCCTACCAAAGATAGCAATTAAAAGGGCCCATAGAACTGTGAGGAGACTGCAGGAAGTCAACCAGAGCATGCAACTAACTGCAAATAAAAATAGAAAAAGCATTAGCTTCAGGTTTTCAAAACTATGGTATGTGAAATAAGATAATACGAAGACAATTTGCTGTGGTGCACACCTGCAGAAAATAACAGCACAAATAGCCAGCGAGGTCGCCCACAAATATGAATCGACCTCTTTGAACTTGGTCTACCACGAAGAACAGGGCTGTCGATGATGTTGAGAATAGTATTAATAACACACTCTGGTGAATCACGACAAAATAAAGAAAATAGAATATGAAAAATTAAAATCCTCACGTTATTGGTGGCCTCATTTTTGCAGCTAAATGTGGTGAAAATTGTCTGACAGTCCTCGTGACTTTCTCATTGAAAGTGACTGCAAAGCTGAAGTATCAAACATGATAATTAGTCTATTAATCATCCTATGATCAAAGTGTAAATCACTCAGTGTCAGTTTGTCACAAAATAATGTACGGAGATGACTAAGGAATTTGAGAACTGTATCACAACTGATACAAGGAAAAACATCCTGCAGATGTATTATTCACTAATCCTTTTGGAAGTAGTGCTAAGACAACACATCCTTAGCAATATTTCAGGACAGTTAGACAAATATTTGATGTAATTATGTTTTATCTCAAAGATACACTACCTTTGTTAAGAAAACAAAATATTGTTCTTTACTCATCTAAATGGAAGAATTTTCTAGAGAAAAAGGATGGTATTATTCCCTCTGTTCCAGAATGTTAGATGTTTTGGCTTTGTATTATATTCAATGTTGAATTTAATGAAATTAATTTGGTGCTGTAGATGTTATTACATTTTCGTACTAACTTGATCAAACTTATCTAAGTTTGACCTAGTACAAAACCAAAACATCTTAAATTCTAAAACGGAGAGAGTAGTTAAGTAAATTGTACCTGTCATTAAGAAATGCAATGCTGATTCCAGTCATAAAGGCTGCAAGTATAGCAACCGGCTTCCAAATGAAGCCTATCCCTGCATATAACAAAGGCAGCATGTCAAAATCAACCGAATGAGGAATAAGAGACAGCATTCAAGCTTTTTTTGCCTACCAAGGATGAACATGATCAAGATGAAGTAATTTGTCCTGTAGCTGCAGACCAAATAAATGAGGGAAATTCAGTACAAGATAAAATGATAACTATACAACCCTTAAATCTGTCGTGAGGAACTTGTAAAAAGTCTGAACACATGAATTGGTGCCTTTTAGGAGGATAGTTAATACAACATCCAGTAATGAGAACATGTGGTTTTGGACATTCGCACGTTCTCCAGAATACAAAAAGCAAAAAATTATAACGTAAAATATGTGCAAAACCCAATAAAACTCTAGTATCTGAAAGTTTTTTTATGGAAATATCTGACAGTACTTTCAAGATAAATCTACAGATATGAATTTTTATGTATCAAACCCAAACCCCAAACATTTAAAACATTTTCGTACTCACAGCTTTGAACATTTGACTTAGATGTATGTTCAACATGGCATGTTTTCTGACAGAAACACTACTTTGCCAATCACTTTAGTTATCAGAAACACTTAATGTCTCAACATTAAGTACAGCAAAAACTGTGGTTGCACCACTTACCATCTTCAATCTGAGATTCTGTGTTCAACTGATTTTTAAGTAAGTAGTAAATAAATAAAAATTCTAATGCACCCTGTTCATCTCACGGATTTCATGGAGTACAGCACTCCAGCAAGAACACCCAGCATCTCCGGAACAAGTACAAAACGAAATAAGATTCAGGTTAACCTAACAATTAAAAATTTTGCTCTTACATCAAAATGCACAATTTCCTTGCATATACGGACGCCTAGCCTGCCTATTGAGTTATCCTGACTAGGTGGCTGGCCAATCCTGCTTAGGTCCACATGATCACCAATTAGGTGCCAGGTGCTGGTCTGCTGCCTAACTAGCGCTTAGCGCCTTGGCTAAAATTGCCACTAAGCAGAATCGATAGTTGATGATAAATATGCTGAAGATCATGATATCATGGATAACATAATTAGAACCGATAGTTGATGGTAGCCTGGGGAAGCTAAACCTACAAACCTTGTTTTGTGTTTTCATCAAATACTACTCCAACATATCATATGCCACAAACAAGCATAACCTACTTCGCATGCTATGAATTCATCAGAAATTTCGAAACAACTAGCTCACAGCCTAATAAGGTAATATACTGGCCGTTTATGTGATTCCTTTTGTCCCCATTGAACATGCTGAGCATAATACGATGTTGGATTCACCTACTATATGGCTACATTACCTGAACGTTACAACACCATTTCCTTGGGCTATCAAACCACAAAATAGGTCTCGATGCGCACGCATATACCCTTATTCTACTATTCTACTGGCTAGAGAGGAAAAGAAGTGCTCGATCCACTACTAATTCACTGAAAACACCAACAATCGGGCTCCGCGCTCAAATCCGCTCGGATTTAACGCCAATCTCGACATAGAAACCCCCAAGTTCCCAACAAATCGTGGGACGGGCAATTAGGAAGTGAGGAAGGGAGATCGTACTAGTAGAGGTTGCACTTGAGGCGGCTGGTCCACTTGGAGTAGGAGCGGGGGACGGTGAAGCGGGAGAAGAACTCCGGCACGGGGCGCGGCGGCGTCGACCAGTCCACCTCCCGCAGCGCGTCCACCAGGTCCTCCGCCGTCACCGCGCTCCAGTCCATCGCCGGGCGATCCCCACCCTCCCCCTTCCGAACCCTAGCGAGAACGAGCGCAGGCGGACAAGCGGCGACGCGGCTGTAGATTGCAGGAGCGGCGGGATGGCGGATGGGCGGCTTTGCTGGCTCGGTCGTGTCGTGCGCGACGCGAGAGCGAAGAGTAATTTTTTTCCTCTTTCCCTTCGGTTTTGGGGGATTTTTTGGGGGAGTCTGGAGTTTGGACACCGCGGAGGCGTGGAGAGGAGGGGAATCGAACAGGGAGGAGAGGAATATGTGTGCTTTTCTTCGCTTGGTTCGCTTGCTTGCCGTGCGCGTGCGGTGCGGGCGGCGTGGTGGCGCCGTGGCGGACGACGGACGGGTTCGCGTACTGGGCCGTGAGCTTGGCAAAGAGGATATCGGACTGGTTTAGGTGGTTGAATAAGTTCATTTTAGGACCCTTAATTTGACAGCTTAGTTCGATTTTCATCTTCAACCGAAATATCAGACACAACAGGTCCCTCAAGTACCCGCCGTAGTCCCCTCATTGCCACCTCCGCCCATCGTCGACCCGCCGCCAGACGTCGTCTTCCTCACCAGGCACCGCTGAGATGGGAATAGGGGAGGAAGAGAGAGATAGGTAAGAGGTTGTGACATATGTTGTCCACAATGACTCAGCGTTGTTGACTTGGGTCAAATTGCCATGTCAGACAAAGCCACCCCACTATACTGTTATGGATAAGACCCGACAACGGTAGCGGTCTAGAGCAGAGGCCGAAGGATGGCCCCCCAACGGGCGGAGTTGGCAAGGGTGGTGACCACGCAATGGGCGGCACGAGGAAGGTTGCCATGGTGGAGCTTGTTGTCGTCCATGGTGCCGTTGTCGCTAGGACACAGCTGGCACCGAGGCAGTGGTGGCAAGGAGGTGACTACGGCGGGTTTCGTTATGTTTCCGTTAGCAACCCTACAAAATGGTAAAAGCTGATAAAAACTTTTGCTATTTACGTCAACTTACAATAATTTAGTATAAATAGCAACATACAAATTAATGGAATTAAATTTAAAAATTTACTGTTTATTTGGCTTTTTTAAAAAAGTATTCGGTATGCAAATTGTTTAACGAAAATATACCATCGATCTCGCTGAACCGTTGCACGGAAATGATTAAATTGAGCGCTCTCGCATTACCGGCGAGCGAGACCGAACATTCAAATTGATTAATTATCCTCATTAATGATTAATAATTATCAATTAATCGTTAATTATAATAATTATTCCTAATTACTAATTAATTATTAATCGGGTAATTAGTTACTAATTAAACAACAGCTCACTGGGCAAAACATTCGCTGTCGCACAAGGAAGGAAGTAGCGAGACCGTTCGCTGTCGAATATTTTTTAAAAAAACCCAAATGAACAGTATATTTTAAATTTAATTCCAAATTAATGTAAGCTAATAAAAAGAGCAAAAATTTTAATCATCATTTAACAATTCGTAGAAGTAAAAATGATCTTTTTATAACACTTTAACGAATAATTGCTAATGAAAACCTAACAATGATTATATTTTTGGGATAAATGTGCTTATACGATGGTATTTTTAAAAAGTTGGATTCGTTGGAGCGCTTATCGATAATATTTTTTAGATTTCTGGCTACTTACTGATTAATGAAACATACCCATGTTTTGCTATAAAGTTGATGCCCACTAACTTTTAAATCTCAACATGCAAGTGTACCATATCATCCATTAGCAATTATTATCTATGGTATTTTAAATCACATACAAGTGCGTCACATCATCACCCATTAGTAATTATTATTTAAATTATTTTAAATATCATGTAAATATGACATACGTTTTATTTTATAATTTTGTTTTATTTTCATAATTCAATATCGAAGCAATGCCAAGTCGTTATCTTCACATTATTTTTATATTATTTAAACGTATACATGTACCATTTCTATAATATGTAACATGTGTTCATCAATATGTTCTGTAGCAAAGCGTGGGATATTAACTAGTAAGCTTATTAAAGTCCCTGTTTCTTCCAGCTTAAGATTATTATAATCTAGATTATTAGGTCAGATTACTATAAGCTAGATTGTTATAATCTGTAGTAGAATAAGCGGTTAGTTGTTTCGTTTCTAGATTATTAGAGCCTAGATTATTGGATTTGCAAGTCTAAAGAAGGAGTGGGGTGGTATGGTGGGTAATTTTTCACCAAATAATCTGGAAAAAAGCTCATCTAAATGAGCTTATCAAATTATAATAAGCTAGGCTTTAAATTATAATAAACTACTTTAATAAGTTGTCTGTTTCTTTCAACTTACTCCTAATAATTTAGATTATAATAATCCCAAGTTAAAAGAAACCGGGCCTAAATGGAGAGGGCATGAACCCACGGTACGCTTTCGTGAATGGCACCGTGTTATGCGAGGCTGCGCCTCCACCGCGGCCAATACCGTGACCGTGAGCCCCTGACTCTCCGCTCGTAAAGTCGTCGAGCGGCGACGTACGTGCTGCTGCTGCCACGTCCTTCAACGCGACGCGAGCAAAGTCCTGCGACTTTTTGTCGCGGTTTACCGAGAAATGCCAAATCAGCCGCTCCAAGTGGATCTCGTTGCCGCCCGCCGGTGTCAGGCATATCACCATTCACCTCACCTGCGCCGCTGCGCGGCCTCTCTCGTCGGCTTGCACACCGCGGCAGATTCCCTCCCGTCTCTACCAAAACTCTTGTCGCGTGCACAGCGAAGCAGCGCGTAGCGTAGTACTAGTAGGACTGTAGGAGTACTAGGTGGTAGCGCCGTGTCCAGACGTCCAGTCCAGAGTCCACCACGAGCGCCCGGCCCCCCTCCCCTCCCCGCCCGATCGATCGCTGCACGAAACTCACCCAAGCAAAAACGCGCCATACACCTGCACGCACCGTGCCCGTGCGATAGAGGCGCGCACCCGCACCGGCTCACCGTCACCGCATATATCCCGGCTGCTCATCCGCGCGCGGAAATCCTCTCCCAAAGCCGTGACGCGGCGGCCCCTGCTCGATGCATGCGTGCCTCACGTTCTCTCGTGCCAAAACAACGATTCTAGCAGGATCGATCGGTCTGGGTGGCGTGCCGCCGCTCCCCGTGCGACGAGCCCATTCGCCCCCCCGTCCGATCCGGGCTTGTCAGTTGTCACGGTACAAAACGCTCCGCCCCGTCGCCGCCGCGCGATCGGGACAGTGCACGTCACGCGCGCCATACACCTGCACCCGCACGCGCGAGGCGCCCCCCGCACCGGGATATGGATATCTATTCCCCGGCTTATCCGCGCTCGCGCGGCTGAGCGGCTCACGTTTTCTCGTGCCAAAACGACGGATGGATCGGTCTGGGCCAACGACCCCATTCCCCCCTGTATCTCGGTGCGCCGCCACCTAACAGCTTTAACAGCTTAACAAGTCACAGTAACACGCATACCGTGTGGCGGGCGCGGGCGCAGAGGATCCCGGGGGTCGTTGGGCATTTTGCGCCCTGGGTTTCCGCCTTTCCGGTCACGGGAGCCAGAGCCACTTCTGCCTTCATAAACCCTTCCTCTTTTCTCCTCCTCCTATCTATCCCCCCTCTACTCGCGGCTGCGGCGGCAAGGCGGCGAGACGTGGGAGAGGGATTTACAGGTAGAGGGAGAGGGTGGAGGAGGAGAGGCTGAGGCTAGGAAGCGGTTTCGCCATGGCGAGCGTCGACCCGTCCCGGAGCTTCGTGAGGGACGTGAAGCGCGTCATCATCAAGGTGATTTTTGTTTGGCCGCTGGGTCGCAGGAGTCGCCGTCACGGATTGACCTTGATAGATCTAGTTTCCGAGGATTCGTGCGCGTCTGCTTGGGCGCTGTTTGCATTGTTTGCGCTCCTCTTCTCCGTATTCGTGAGATTGTTTCTGGATCAAATTTACCGGGCGAGTGTTTTGTTCAGAGTTGAAGACTCGAGAGACGTTTGATTTGGGATTCTCGTTGTTAGATTATCAGGAGTGGGGCTTTGCTTGGGCTTTTCTGTGGTTTACTTGATGTGACGGCCTATGTCGAAGTTGCCAATCTTTCGACTCTGGTAGGCATCATCATGGGAAAACTGTTGGCTATTTCGCTGCGGGGCAGCGGATTTCTGTCAGATGGGAATTGGTGGGTGGAATGGCACAGAAATAGAAAAGAGACATAGTATCTTATATTGGAGCGTTCGGCAAATTTCTGTCCCTTGCGATCGCTCTCACAAATTCGTGTTTGTTTCATCTGTGACACTTTTTATTTGTTCAAATCCCATGCTTTTTCCAATTTTTTTATAAAAAATATGCGGAACTGGTGAAATAATGTCTGAATTGGAAAGGTGATGAGAATCGAATAATGTAGAATCAAATACCGTTGCTTTTGAGTTTAGGCTTTGGAAAAGCGTTTAGGCTTTAGAAAAGCCTAGCAGTTTTGTGGAACCTCAACGCAATACCTTCAACACAAGATGTACCACTGTACCAGTACATAATAATAATATAATAATAATGTTTTTATCTCTGTGCGGCTAATTCCTTTTTTGCATGACAGGTGGGCACTGCAGTTGTCTCCAGACAAGATGGAAGATTGGCTTTGGGCAGGGTTGGAGCTCTGTGCGAGCAGGTAAAAGAAATCCATTTTTTTGATCTTGTGAGCTGTTCTGCAATGGCTATGTAGTGTTGGATATGTTGGCAGGTGCCTAACCAAAGAAAAGTGGCAATGCAGGTTAAGGAACTGAACTCTTTAGGATACGAAGTGATTTTGGTCACCTCAGGTGCTGTTGGAGTGGGGCGACAGCGACTTAGGTACCGGAAGCTTGTCAATAGCAGCTTTGCTGATCTGCAAAAGCCACAGATGGAGTTAGATGGAAAGGCTTGTGCCGCTGTTGGTCAGAGTGGACTGATGGCTCTTTACGATATGTTGTTTAACCAAGTGTGTTTATTAGTCTGGCATTCAACTTCAACAAAAATGAATAGGTTACTTTTTGTATCTTTTTGTAACCTTGAACTTCTTGCATTGCAGCTGGATGTCTCGTCATCTCAACTTCTTGTCACCGACAGTGATTTTGAGAACCCAAAGTTCCGGGAGCAACTCACTGAAACTGTTGAGTCATTATTAGATCTTAAAGTTATACCAATATTTAATGAAAATGATGCCATCAGCACTAGAAAGGCTCCATATGAGGTATGTAAGTGTGTTTCATACCATACATCTCCTGGAAAAGTATGAAACTTCAGTTTTTGCGTGGTGCTGCTCTTTAGCT